ATGTGAAATATTAGGCATATTGACTACATTTAGTTGTTTTCATGTTTCAAGTTATATCACAAAACTGAATCAAAACTTTTCTAGCTCTAAGTTACAAAACTGAATCTCAAACTGGGCTCTACAAAATAGTGCACTGTCCAGTCAGAAATATAGGATTCGACATAAAGTGTAATTCTACTGATTTTTCATAATTTCTGCATAATTCAGTGTTTGAGTGAACCTGCATGTGTCTTCTGAGCTTTTATATGTAACGCTGATGATAGTAAAATAGTAGAAACTCTGAAAAAAACTTTTTTCAATGGGGGCTATTTCACTGTTTTGCCTCACAACACCCTGCATGTATCCCTCCACCATGAATGGATCATTACATACTCATTTTTGTCCACAATCTTCTCAAAACTATCATAAAACAGTGTCTTAGACACCAGGCAGTGAATTCATAAGCATTTCATGTAGTAACTTTCTGTGAGGGAGCTTTTAGAGGTGGACGTCTGGTTCCTATCACCACCACTGTGACCAATTCTGACTCGGTAAGCTTCTCTAGATTGAAGCATTTCACAGCAAACCACTCTGAACGACTCTGTTTACATCTTAACCATCTACTTATGCAGAATTTCGGTGGAGTTCTACTTTAGGGAGAAAGATAGTCATCTATGCCTGTGGACCTTTGGAACTGTTGCCGTGGCTGTTCTGCTTTAAATATGATCCAATTTGAATATCAGCTGCTTCGCCTCCCCACATCTTCAGGAGCACTTCGCTGCGCAGCTCCTTCAAAAACGTTCTGCTTGTCTAGAACATTTATGTGTCATATTCAACTTCAATCATAAAAATAAAAAGCGTTCCCTGTACCAAAAAAAGCTCATATGCTGAGTTCTCTGCAGAACTGAAGTGGAACCTATGCCTTTATGAGCACAGAAACATAAGCGTGGCTTTGTTATTCTCTGTTTTGGATCCTTTTGGTCTAAAATAAAATGCTAAACGCTAATCCTAAAGCTCCTCAGTGAGAGGTTCTAAGCAGTCCAGCAGAACCTACAGAATTAAATTAAACCTGTATTAACAAAAGAAGAGAAAAAAGGAAATAAAACACATGTGGTGACTATTTTTCTCAAAAAAATGTACGAAGAATGAAAAATAAAAATGTTGGTATTTGAAAAATAAGTCTGTACAGCTGCACCACAGTCAGATCCCGCCTCTTCACCTGCTTGACTGACAGCCGTGCGGGCCAATCAGCATGCGGCCAGTGCAGGGGGCGGGGCTTAGGAAGATACCGGCTGTAATAGCAGCTCTTTGAATTTTATATTCTGCGGCGACCACGGAGGAGTGAGGAGAGGTAAGAGCACCATCATATTTCCTCCGTTTTGTAGTCGAATTCAGGCTGTGTCCTCAATTAACACGTACAGACTTCCAAAAAGCGTATTAATGAGCACATGAAGGCTTCATCTGCATCATCTGTTACTATACAAACTCGGTTTTCACTCACTCAGTGCACTAACCTGAGCTACACGCCTCGTTTATCGCCTCAGCGCTGGATTTATGCTCTGTGCTCGTTTATATTGTTAGTTATCAACATTTCTCTCCATTTACATCTTCCTAAAAAGTTTTAAAAAGCCTACACATGAACGCACTGCATCAGCTGTTACTATGCAAACTTACTTTTGACCGACTCACTGAACCTCACGCTTCATTTATCATCCAAAACTGTGTTTATGCTCTGTGCTTATTTATTTTCTGTGTTTGGGCCTCAGTTTGGCTTTAACTTACTGCTAGTGGTTTGGAGAACAGTAGCAGTTCATCTTAACCTGAACAGTGGTTTGAATGCCAATATGCTTCTAACCGCATACTGCAATATATATATATATATATATATATATATATATATATATATATATATATATAAAATATATGCATTTCTTTAAAGGATAACAGGAGCTTGTGGGAGAGATTGCTTGTCATTTTGCCCAGAAGAGCTCCTGGAGACCCACTTTTCTGATGCATTTAACAGTAAGTCAACTAAATAGTTTATATCACTAAGTAGTTTTGAAGCTTTGAATATATATATATATATATATATATATATATATATATATATATATATATAGAGAGAGAGAGAGAGAGAGAGAGGTGACTGTGCATATATATAGAGGAGATATAGAGGAATATATCAGTGCTGTCAGAACAAAACTTTGTGACTCCATTTTCGACATTTTTCAGTTTTTGCTGTAATTTGAAAATGCCTGTTGCCCTTTACATTGTATGCTAATTTCATGATGAATGGACCAAAAGAAACGGCCCAGAATTAACTGGAAAAAATTCTGCTTCCACTGACTTACATTAAAAGTAATGTATGTTTTTTCCTTCTCCTGTAAAGTTACCATTTTGGAGGTTTTGTTTTCCGACAACAGTGATATATTTCATACTTCATATTTCATATTTCAAATTTTAATTTTTTTTTTAACATCCTGAAACACAGAAACGCAGTTATTTATTTGTAATGTGGACAGTTCACTGTACAACACAAGTGTAGGCATGTTTGTCACAGCAAGTCAGAGATGTGTGAGCTCACTTACACACCTTCTCTGTTCTTGCCTCGCTCTACCATGTATTATTGGATGGACACTACATAAACAGTGCGGAGACACTGCTAACTTCACAGAGCTGGCAATAGTGTTGCGCTACACCCTTAACAAAGACGGTTCCTCAGAGGGTTCTTTAGTGAAGACAATGCTTCCATATGGAACCATGAACACTCAGAGAACCATTTCTATGCTTAAATTGTTCTTTGCATGGTAAAATTGTTCTTCAGATTGAAGAAGATTATGTTGCATATGTTTCTATATAGAACTAAAAAGGGTTCTGCTATTGTTTATGATGTCAAGCTTGTAACAATAGAAAACCGCTTTTTTTGGTGCTATATAGGATCATATGCAACACATTCTTCTTCAGTTTGAAGAACCATTTCACCATGCAAAGAGCCACTTAAGCATGCTAAATGGTTCTGTACAAAACCATTGTCTTTACTAAGGAACCCTTGAAGAACCATCGTTTTTAAGCGTATACTGCTCTGCTATGTTTCTGACTGTCTGCAGGAGACTCAAACGTGATGGTAACCTATGGTGGTTTCTATAGAAATAGATGGAAATGAACCAGTCAGAATTGTTTATAACTCATGGGGTTGACCAATCAGATTGTGCTCCGTGAAATGTGAGGTTTTTCTTCTCTCTGACTTGAGATGTCTTGGGATAAACACTATAGGTCAGTATTTGGCGTGTGGGTACCTGTGTGCCTGATATACAACTGATCATGATACTTCATATTTTCACAGTATGCTGTTTCGTTTTTCTGAGTTATAATAAGTTGGAACAGACAAAAAACAGCCAGTTCCTGGTTGCTGGAGGAACTCATCTTCCTCATAATTGTGTGCAGGCTTGGCACAAAGCAAAGAGGAATCAGCTTTTTATCAGACCGACCTCTGTGTCCCTGCCACCATCAGACCACTCCTGTATAAAGAGATATGAAAGCTGTTTTTTTCCACATTAAAAAAAGTGTGGTTGGGTGGGGCTGAAGTGAAAGCGCAGTGCAGAAGTGTTTTAAGGGAGTAAAGTGAATGTGGACAATGGCGACACTGAAATCCTTCTGAATCATGTGATTTGAGAACTTTGAGGAAGTGAATCTCCCAAAATAAGGGAAGGCAGGCTGATGCGGTTTGAACTGTCCTGAAAAGGGAATTTTCACTGTGCTATTTAAAAACAAACAAAAAAACTCATTTTCATATTTCTTGAACATCCTCTTTGTCTTTGAGCAGATGCTGAGGTTAACGTTAGGCTTGGCCTTGCTGAGCCTGGTGGCCGGCTCAAAGTGTCCCAGTCAGCAGCTGTGTGGGGACCAGCAGACGTGTTGCCAGGTCCAGTCCTCTGGAGAATACAACTGCTGCCCCTTCCATCAGGTCAGTCGACCACAGGACGATCATCATATTATAGACACCTTTGGAAATGATATATACTGTTGTATCAAGATGTAAATGGAATACATTGTTATATATTTTGAATATATATCTAGAGTGATAGAATCGGTAGAAAGCAAAAGATAGCACTGTCAGAAAGAAGAAGTAACGTAGGGGTCAGGTTCTCCTTCCTAAAGTACAGTTCACATACATTCATATGCAAAAGTAAAAACACCCCCAGCCAAAAGACACGTTTTATTAATTTTCTGAGTGAAATTTAACTCACTCAAACTCAAATTATGGCATTTTTCTGCACAATTTCTATTCATTTGCTGAGTTTGAAATATTGGAATAGGTAAAACACACATATTATGTTTTATTTTTCTTTTCCAATGTGACGCATTTAACAAATAAACAATAATCGTGCATTAAAATGGAGACAACTGTGCGCTCTGTAGAGGATGTGTACTGATGTTCGTGTAGAAAATCATCAAAATTAATAAACAAATTGACCAGGGGTGCCAAAACTTTTGCATATGACTTATATCTACCCCCAAGGTTTACTGGCTGACCTCAAGGAATCAAAATACAGCATTTTAAGTTGAGAAAAGAGGAGTATAATATTAACACTTTACAGATGAAGCCCTTTTCACTGAACTTTAAGGTCAAAATATAGCAAAAAAACCTCTTTTCTGTAGAGACTCTGATTTTTTTTACAGTGGTGGTGATGAGAAACGGGTTGCAGCATCTACAACACAAATATAGCCATTATATATACTATCCAAAACCTCCAGTGAACCTACACGCGCCTTCTGAGTTTATATACTGAATACTAATGGTAAAATAGCCTGTACTTCTCCTCTATGAATGTATTTAAAGCACAAAACCTAAACCTTAAAGCAAAAGCAAAAGTATTATATATCACTGTCTCAGTCATCAGGCAGCGTATTCATAACTATTTCCTGTAATGACTTGCTGTGAGGGAGCTTTTAGAGGTGGACGTCTGGTTCCTATCACCACCACTGTGAACAGTTCTGACTCTGTAAGTTCCTCTAGAGCAGAGCGTTTCACACCAAACCACTCTGAACGACTCTGTTTACATCTTAACCATTAAATTATGCGAAACATTTGAGAAGTTGGAGGATTATCCCTTTAACAGACTGCAAGTGCAGGACATTCTATTGGCAGTAATATGAATAGCAGCATATTACAATGCCATAAACATAGATTTGGTGCAGCTCAGATGGGCGCAAGCTACTTTTGCTCACCATGTAGTAGGGAGTAGCTCAGATAAGTGGTCATATATTCATGAAATGCACAGCCGTAGTGGAGTGGACACAAAGGGACAGAGTAAACTGTGGTCAGATAAGTTCAGCTAAGGATCAGATATGTTGTAATTACCTGTCCTTCCTGCACACGTCCACGTATGTTCACAGGAGCTGATAAGGCTTTCCGCCCTGCGCTACTACACTGTCTTACACGTTGACTTGCTTTGCTATTCAAAATGTAGGGAAAGTGAGTTATCAAGAAAGTGTGATAGACCACACTTGGCTTCTCCTGGCTTGTAATTGGCTTGTGTGACTTTTTTTTCCTCTATGATTGTCTATAAACTGTAAAATAATATTATTTTCAATGGGACGAGTTATGGGCTTTACAAAGTCAATAATAGGTGAACAATTACAGCTGAAAAGCTGATGTCATCTACTGTATTCCTTAGACCAGGGGTCGGCAACATGCAGCTCTGTTACTGTCCTGTTGTGGCTCCACAGCAGAATTAGATTTGTAGGTGAAAATAAAATAATCCTCCTTTACAGTAAAATAAAGCTCTGCTGATCGTTCAACACAGTTTAACAATAAATGGTCTTAAACTCTGGAGTTAATGAATGGACTTATTTGTGTTTATAATCACTCCAGCTGGTTTCCTGATACGTTTAATCTGCAACGAGAAACTGACGAACACTCGCAAAACTGAAGTCAGTTTTTCATTTGAATTGTCCCGTTCCACCTTAAATGGTGCCGCAGTTACATTCTGCCACCTCAGGCACCATTTAAGGTGCAACAGGAAAATTTGAACGAGAAGCTGGTAAATGAGAAGCGACTTCAGCCTCATTCTACTTTTGCTGAAGTTTCCTGCTGGAGATGCGAGAAAAGCTGAGCTAAAGCTTAAAGCAGAGCAAAGCAAGTCAGTGTTTTCGTTTATATGTTTAGCCTATACTAGTACTTTAGCACATACTGAGACATATTTGCAGCCAAGATGGTAAAATGGATATAGTTCTGCATTGTTCTGTAAATAGGAATTACAGTAGTTTGTCTGTAGAATCATAGAAAGTAGCTGGAATATCTACTCTAAAATGCACTGTTTTATACAGCGCAGCTATACTTACAGTTATTATAGTCACAGTTATATGTTCACCTACAAACAGGCTTTATGAAGCTTTTTCAGATATTTTATTCTTGATCATTAGATTTTGCACGCATTACTAAAATAAACACCTCCTAAGTGTTTATTATTATGCATTATAATTGTAACTTGTTGGATTTACATGAAGTATAGGCAAGATGAGACCTGCATATTATAAATAATAATGTTTTTACACACTTTATTAGGTCCACCTAGCTTGAATCTGCACACGTCATCTATTGTATCAGCTCCACTTAGCATGAATGTAATATAATAATAATAATAATAATAATAATAATATTAGTAGAAGATGTGTTAACTTATTTTCACATAGAAATCAAGAAAAACACGTAATTTGACCAACCAGAGGTGTAAAAACTTATGCATATGACTGTAGCGCCTCTCGCAGCCAAACAATTGATTGATTCTTTTTATTGTCACAAGATATGTTGGTGGTAATTGTATCCGGTGCAATAAGATGTAATTCAACTCTGTTGTAGCACAATACACATAAACATACAGTGTAATACATGTGCAGTACACAATATACAAGACTTAATACAGGAGAATCATGAAAAATTGCACAGTAATTTCATCTGTGGATTCTAAAGGCTGGAAATCTTACAGTCCGACTCTATTTACACTTATCAGAAGAGTTTAGTGACCCTACAGCAGTAGGAGAAAAGCTGCTCTTGAAGCAGGTTATAATTTAAAATTATAAAACAATAAAAATTGCTTTTAAGGCATCGTCACTGGTTGAGATCACTCATAGATGTGTGCATGTGTGCAGGGAGAGTGTTGTGAGGACCACCTGCACTGCTGTCCTGAGGGGATGTTGTGCCAAACAGCAGAATCCAAGTGTACAAACTCGACTCACTCGCTGCCCTGGACTGAGAGGATATCTGCCAAAAAGACTGACCTCGCTAAAGTAAGACCGAAATCAAACCACAGACAGTGATGTACTGCAGCATCAACTCAATCCGACTACACGGTTTCTTCTTTCTCTTCCTCTTTGGCTGCTTTCACTTCATACTGCACTGTTTTATATGGTTCAGAAATGCGGTTGTGTAGTCTTGTTATCTGTTAACAAAGCAGTTGGAAAGTTAGTTCTCACTCCTTTCCAACTTAAAGTCAATCTGAGGTCAAAATGGACCCGTTTTAGCTTATTTCATGGCACATTAAACACAATCCACATCATTCAAAAGACAAAATTCTTACGTTTCCATAATTTTTGATCACAGTGTAGGGACTTTTGTCACCTCCAAATGCCTTCTGATGTTTGGCTGCGTCACTTTACGGCAGAGAAAAAGTATACTAACCAACACCAAGGCTTTGTTCACACAGAGCAGGTAAAAGCAGGTAGAATCTGATATTTTCTTAAATACGTGACACAGATGTGTCTGTGTGTCAGTGTGAACAGATAAACACACTGAATCTGACATTTTCAGTTCCGATTTGAGACGCTTTCATATGTGGTACTGAAATCCAACACGTATCCGATCTGCGGCAATGCGACCCAGTCTGAACAGCCAGATCAGAATTCATGCGACTTTAACATCAATCCAGCTCCACATTCGTCATAATTTCGCGCTGCTGAGACTCATAAACATGTAGGCTGATGTTTCTGTACTAAAAAACTAGAAGAGACTCATCAAACCCCTCCGTGTTCGAAGAGATTTTGAGAGAAATGTCCGAACGTGGCTGTAGGAGAACGAGGCTGCAGCGTCAAAGAACAGTTAAAAGACTGAAAGTGACGTTTAAGGAATCCGAGGATGTGAACCAAAGAAGTGACCGCGCCCTTTTTACGGTGAAATCGAACACATTCTGGGTGATGAGTCCAGCTGTCAGTCAGTGAAGAGTCATGATCGCTCCTGTGATGCTGGTGAAGATGAAACGGACCCCCCGCTTCGTTGGCAGTCATGATTGTTTACCCTTTGGAGGGCCGCGCCTAGTGAAGCAACGTGAATTTTTAGTTTAATGTGATTATGTATTAAAATAGAGCAGATTTGCCTTTTTTTTACAGAGATTTCTCTGTCTGTCTGTCGTGCCGCATGCTTGGTCCTCGCCTGCTCACTCCCACGCCGCCCCTGCCACATCACTACTGGCATGAGCCAAGACTTACGCTAATATTAAGCATGACGAGATGACGCGAGTGTGACGCAACTCTAGCAGGACTCTCGTGATTTTATTCCAACGTTGGTAAATTGTCTGTTGCAGTGAAATCGCTTGAAAAGGTGTTTAGTGTAAGGCAGGCATTAGCAGACCTGAATGGGACTTATTGGCTTTGTGCAAAGCATTGTTTTGTCCAGAAATCTTATTAAGTGTCAGAAACTATGTAAACAAGTCTGTTTTAGATTAGCTTTGCACTTGACTGGGAAAAGAGAAGTGAATTTACGGGGCAGTTGGCTGTTCATTTTGACAAACTGTACTTTCCCTCCGAGCATTACATCAGGATCGCCCATACTAGGCTCCACCCTAGCAAAAGTAGCGAGGTGACAGTTCAGTGTGACTGCGGCTTTAGCAGTTAGCACAATGCTAATTGTTAAGATGTAAGCTACGTTAGCCCCATAGCTACAATGAAAAACCAATTAAGCAAACTTTAGATGCCAAACATGTCTTAGCTGATGAACTGCATTTGGGACAAGGGTAAATTTGATTTTTAGCTGAACTGTCACTTCAAACTTGAGGGTCTGTATGAGAACTCAAGTTCTAAAGCTTGCGTATTATATGCGTAGTATAATTTTATAGAAGAACCTAATCAATTAAACTGACTCAACAGTCAGCGCGGTGGGTAGTGCTGTCGCCTCACAGCCTGGGTTCGATTCGGTTCGACTCCTTACTGTGTGGAGTTTGCATGTTCTCCCCGTGTCTGCATGGGTTTCCTTTGGGTTCTCCGGTTTCCTCCCACAGTCCAACGACATGCAGTCAGGCCAATTGGATATACTGAATTGCCCCTAGGTGTGAATGTGTATGTCTGTCTGTCTGCCCTGAAGATGTGATGACACTGGTTAGTTACTCACTCACACCCTCAGACGACGCGTCCTTCACCAAGTTTAGACTGAGTTCTCTTTGGATTCTCCTTCAATCATTAGATTCATCCGCTCGGGGAAGGGGGCCAAAGCGCAACCCATGTTACAAAATTTTCTTTCACACGCAATTACATATTTCCACCAGAGGGGTCTCCAAATCCCCAAAACCTACATAGTGCAGCTTTATGACTACTCGCTAAGTATTGAGCTTGATAAAGTCTTATATTCTCTCAGTCATTCAGAATGATCAGCTCTTCTGTGGCCAGCAAGGATAACATCATCTGCCCTGATAATACCTCCTGCCCAGCCGAGTTCTCCTGTCTGAAGCTGTTTGAAAGATACAGCTGCTGTCCTGTCACACAAGTACGTTTTCTCAGTAACAAGCATGTTCCTTACTCTGTAAAAAACACTATATAACTTTAGAATAAATATAAATAAACATACACTCAGTAGAAAGTAACAAGTAGTTCAGAGAACCAGAAAATTTATTACACTCTAGAATTAATTCATAATGATGAGTTTATTAAGTTCCCCGACTTTACAACTGGAAACTTTCCAAACTGTTTACACCTTTACTGCCACAATTACTATTTTCTTATAATTAGTAATTGAATCTAAAGGAACTGTGTGCAGAAAATTTGCAGAATAGGTTGTGTCAGGGTTAAACACACTGATTTAGGAAGTGGTCTGGCAGCAGTTTATGCAGGAAGGCCAAATGGCAGATTTTGATGGATTTTCTGTTTCCAGGGCATCGTCTGCATGGACGGAAAACACTGCTGTCCGAACGATCACGAGTGCACTGTGGACAGCACCTCCTGCGTCAAGAAGAAAGGTGAGGAAAACAGACATACATCCTTATATTTATAAGCCGTTATACAGTGTTTCTCCACTATCAGAAATGGCCAGTATTCAAAGGCTGAAAGGAAAATATTTCACCTGCAATAAACTGCACTGACTATTCGGTAAACACTATGAAATACTCTGTGCGTACTTTGAATTATTCATGTCAAGTCAAGTCTTGTGGCATCACAAAGCGGCATCACATTACAGGAGACATAAAGGACGATACATGCACAAAACGATAAATACAAATGACGATCAGTGTATTCTAACCACCACTACACAACTGATTACTCACCCCTTTCAGATCAAGACCTCACCTGTTTCGGAACAGGCTTGGCGTGCTTGAGCAGAGGTTTGTATGCTGGAATTAACGTAATAGAGATGTGATCCGAGCAGTCCGGTGGGGGCAGGGTGCGCAGTCTGTAAGGACCATAGAGTTTGTTCAGCACTTCCCTCGCATTAGCGCCGGGTGGAATGTAGACCATGACGATGGTAAACTCTGAGAGGAAGTAGAATGATAAACAGATAAATAAAACTTATATTGATCCTGAAGGGAAATTGCAGTGTTACAGTAGCAAGACATGTAACTGCACATAAACTTACATACACTATCAAATCAAATCAAATCAAATTTATTTGTTTAGCGCTTTTTACAACTGATGTTGTCACAAAGCAGCTTCACAGAAATCCGTTTAGAACAAAGTTTCAACATGAAATGTAAATCCTCCAGGTGAGCAAGCCAGGAAAAACTCCCTCAGTTGAGGAAGAAACCTTGGGAGGAACCAAGGCTCACATGGGGGGACCCATCCTCCTCTGGTCAAACTACGTACAAAATTATTATTCTACTAATATTAATAGTAATAGTAGTAATAGTTAGGAGACTTCAGTGTAGAGTGGGCAGCCAGTCCAAGGCAGGTGGCGGTGACTGGGTTGTGGGTAACTGGTCTGAAGCGGGTAGCCGGAGAGCTCTACAAACAATCATCCAGCAGTGTCCGGCCGGACAGGTGAGCAGTCGTTTTCTCGGAAGAAAGGTAGGGAAATGGAGTTAGTTTATTTCTGTATGGGTGTATGTATAGTAGTATGTAAAACATTTCCAGAGTGTGGCTAACGACTCCGGCAGATCTGACTATAGCAGCTTAACTAAAAGGAGAGAACCAAAAGGGCACACAGACACGGGAGCACCCTGAAACAATCTGGCATTCCTCCGCTCCACCGTCCACAAACCTGAGTGATCGCATGTGAGCGGCGGGACGACAGCACCAGCGTCTCAGTTTACTATAATTCCCTGCGTCCATGGACCCCTGGATCTGCTGCCTTTATCCAAGGGGAAACATTAGCTACCAAAAGCTAAACTAAACAAATGAGTTTTCAGCCTAGATTTGAATATTGCGACTGAGTCTGAGTCCCGAACATTTTCTGGAAGATCATTCCAGAGTTTGGGGGCTTTATAAGAAAAGGCTCTTCCCCCAGATGAAACCTTCTGAATTCTGGGAACTATTAAAAAGCCAGCACTCTGTGATCTGAGTAATCGTGGTGGCTCGTAAAGGGAAATAAGGTCTTGTAGGTACTCAGGAGCGAGCCCATGTAGGGCTTTATACGTCAATAAAAGAATTTTGTAATCTATACGGAATTTAACAGGCAGCCAATGGAGTGATATGGACGAAAGTATTGGGACAGCTACACATCACACCTACAGGAGCTTCAATGACGTCCCATTCTAAATCCATAGGTATTAATATGGAGTTGGTCCCCCTTTGCAGCTCTAACAGCTTCCACTCTTCTGGGAAGCTTCTACAAGATGTTGGAGAGTCTGTGGGAATTTCTGTCCATTCATCCAGAAGAGCATTTGTGAGGTCAGACACTGATGTTGGACGAGAGGGTCTGGCTCACAGTCTCCATTCTAGTTCATCCCAAAGGTGTTTGATGGGGTTGAGGTCAGGGCTCTGTGAGGGCCAGTCAAGTTCTTCCACACCAAACTCACCCAGCCAGGCCTTTATGGAGCTGCTTTGTGCACTGGGGCTCAGTCATGCTGGAACAGGAAAGGTTCTTCCCCAAACTGTTCCCACAAAGCTGGAAGCAAACGATTGTCCAAAATGTCTTGTTCTGCTGAAGCATTAAGATTTCCCTTCACTGGAACTAAGGGTTCTAGACCAACCCCTGAAAAACAGCCCTGTATCATCATCCCTCCTCCACCAAACTTCACAGCTGGCACAGTGCAGTCAGGCAGGTAACGTTCTCCTGGCATTCGCCAAACCCAGACTCGTCCATCAGACTGACAGATAGAGAAGCGTGATTCATCACTCCACAGAATCCGTTTCCACTGCTCCAGAGTCCAGTGGCGGCGCTTTACACCACTCCATCCGACACTTGTCACTGTGCATTTTGACCTAAGGCTTGTGTGCATCCTATGACAGTGCTGTGTTTAAAGTCACTGAGCTCATCAGTACAACTCATTCTACTGCCAGTGTTTGTCTATTGAGACTGCAGGGCTATGTGCTTAACTTGATCCACCTGTTACCAATGGGTGTGGCTGAAACACCTGAACTTAATAATTAGGAGGGGTGTCCACATACTTTTGTCCACATAGTGCATATTAGGCAGAAACGAAAATAGAAATAAAAATAGACTTAAATTAAGCAGAAGCAACACAGTGAGTATAAACGTAACTAGGAGTAGCAGCAGTGTTTACAGTCTAAAGTGCACAGTGAGAGAGTCACTACAGTAGCAGGTTATGACATATTGCACAGCATGTATTGAGAAGAGAGGTGATGTATAGTGATGTGATTCAGCACAGAATGGCTGGGTCTTTTAATTGTAAACTCCCGAGCAGTGACTCAGTATTACTGTTGCATTTCTGCATCATTCATCGTTAGTGTAAGCACATAAGCCATGGACCCTCACAGAGCAGGTACTGTTTGGGTGGTGGATCATTCTCAGCACTGCAGTAACACTGACGTGGTGGTGGTGTGTTAGTGTGTGTTGCGCTGTACAAGTGGATCAGACACAGCAGCGCTGCTCTGTGCTGCTCTGTGAGGGTCCATGGGGGTCCTGACCACTGAAGAACAGGGTAAAACGGGGCTAACAAAGTATGCAGAGAAACAGATGGACTACAGTCTGTAACTGTAGAACTACAAAGTGCACCTATATAGTAAGTGGAGCTGATAAAATGGACAATGAGTGTAGAAACAAGGTCATAATGTTATGCCTGATCGGTGTATATCTGATTATTGAGCTTACAGAAGTTTAGTAGCTCTGCCTGTTTATGCCGAAGTTATAAAGAGAGTTGGGGAAATGCTGATTTTAAACTGAATTATAAGCATGTAACACAAATATTACGAGTAGACTTTAATGAGCTATTTATGAGCTATTTGATTTAATAGCTGTGGTTTTGTGAGTTTGTTTACTGAATCTCTCTCTCTCTCTCTCTCTCTCTCTCTCTCCTCTCTCTCTCTCTCTCTCTGACTGCAGAACCTGTCCGGGCTGTTATGTGTGCTGACGGTGTGTCAGAGTGCCCAGTGCAGACTTCGTGCTGTGAGACTGCAGACGGAGGGTGGGGCTGTTGCCCCATGCCCAGGGTAGGTGTCAGACTGAGGCAGAACGTTTTGCATCCCTTTGCAATTTATCTTTTTAATCTGATCTGTGTCATTTTCTTATATGATCTTAAATAAGTACTCATAATTTATTGCTGTTAAGCTTTATCACCTCTCTGTAGAGCACTTTGAGCTGCCACCAGCATGAAAAGTGTTCTATAAATAAAGATTATTATTATTATATATTATATTATAACCCTTGAGTGGTGTTGGGGTCTGTGGGACCCATTTTCAATGTTCACCAGAATAAAAAATGAGGCAATTTATTATTATTTAGACCGCAGATTCTTGGTCTTCGCTCATTTTCTGTGAAGAACATTTTCAGTGTCTTCACTCTGTTCACCCCCCACACATTTATATTACACATGTGGTGTTGGGTGAACCTGCGGGGAGTAAAAGTGTGGAGGTGCTGTGTCCTTCACTCTGTTCTCCTCCTACATGGCCTGCTGTTAGTGTGTGTCTGTGTGTGTGTGTGAGAGGGTGGACAACATGGACAGGCTGCTGACTGGCTACAGCTGCTAAAGGAGAACCCTACACTGGACACTTGTGATATTTTAAACATCTGGTATTTTTACAGAAATTGTTGTGACTGTGTTGATTTTAATAAAACAATAATGTGGTGGGTCCACCAGACCACTGAGTAACACACACATCAACACCACACAAGGGTTAAACGCATGATTTGCCACTTCTGGCAAGTTTTCACATCTGAAGCAGTTTTTCAGGTTGGGAACTTGATCGGAAGTGAACGACGGCATGGATGATCTTGCAGTATGAGAGGAGAAACGAGTCATTCTTTAGCTGTGCAGTCGAGTTCTGCACTCTCAGAAAAAAAAAGATAGAAACTGTCACTGGGGTGGTTTCGTCAAGAGTACATCTCAGTACCTTTAGTCAGGGAACATAACTGTACTATAATCCGCTGAAATGATATTCTCTAAGGTACAACAGTGGTTTTAAGGTCTGATTGTGAACCTTAAATAAGTTTTTCCAGGTGAAAAGTTTTTGTACCTTTTCATAACCAAATGATTTAAAACAGAACAGTAAAATAAAGTCCTGGAGACGAGACGGGGTGTGTGGAGTCAGTACAGCTTAGAACATATCATTTCAGTGGATTATGGTTCAGTTATGTTCCCTGACTAAAGGTACTGAGATGAACCCTTGAGGGTTCCACCCCAGTGACAAGAGGGGCGCTGCCCCAGTGACAGTGTAGTACCTTTATTTCTGAGAGTGCAGTGTGCTCAGTAGATGGACGTTAAGTGTGTGATGCCGTCTGTTTTCTTAATCTGATAGGATTTTAAAAGTTGTGTAGTTTAGGCCCAACTTAATATACGTTTCCTCTGCAGGCTGTGTGCTGTGCAGATAAAGTGCACTGTTGTCCAGAAGACAGCGTCTGTCATGTGAACAGCTCTAAATGTGTGACCTCCACCAAGCAGGAGCTGCCCATGTGGGCCAAATTCCCTGCCCGGCTGAGAGCAGACTGGGAGGACCGCAAACGTGAGATGCTGTCCCACAGTGCACCGTACCTTAGTGTTAATAAACCTCTTTTTCCTTTTTTCTCAATTAATTGACTTTCCTCTCTTACAGCTGAAGCAGTGACTCCAAAGATGACCACTAAACAACAGGAAACCTCTACAACATCACAGAGCACTGCTGCTACTACGACTCCAACTACGACTCCAACTACGACTCCAACTACGACTCCGACTACGACGACGACTACGACTGCTGCTGTCAGCGCTGCTGTTTCAAAGGGTGAGCAGGACTGATGGAATAAATAATAATCTTAACGGTTTTTAACCCTTTCTTAGCCATGGCCAGTATTAGGACCTACCTGATAGACTGCTTGACCAATACTTTCTGTCCATTTAAAGGTTCCGTGGATTAATTGGGAATAACTTGTTAATAATTCAATCAAGACGTAAAAAAAGCCATTCACAGCGGTCGGATGTTAAATGCTCCGTTCTAGAGAAACATATCTACTCAGATTTCTTTACAGTGATGCAAATATAGCCATTTTAATCACTATGCGAAACCAACAGTGAACCTACACATGTCTTCTGAGTTTTAATATGTAATGTTTATAATGACAAATAATACGTAAATCGGAAATTTTTTACATGTATCTTGAAAAATATATCTTGAAAGGATAAAAAAACACATTTTAAGCCAAAACATTCTCTCAAAATGGTCACAAACACAGTGAGTGCTGTTCTCTCTGTGAGCTTTTAGAGGTGGACATCTGGTTCCTATCACCACCACTGTGAACAGGGCATTTCACATCAAACCACTCTGAACGACTGAATGATTGAATTATGCAGAAATGTTGTAAAATCAGTGTAATTCCCCTTTAATATGGCTTTTTTCTGCAGTTTTTAGTGCATATTTTATTTGCTAAGTTTAACATATTGGACAAAAAATATATAAAGTGTGCCATCAGTTTTGCACAGGCTATAGTTTACGTTTTATTTTCCCCCAGCATATTAAAATAATAGCAAATAAACAGTATTTGTGCAAAAAAAGTGCAGAAGTGTAAAAATATTGACTTATAACAAGAATAAGAAATATCAAACATTTTCAAATCATAAAGGATATGAATGTTAATGGAGACGAATAGACGAAATAAACATCATCAGCTTGAGACACAGCAGCGAGTGTGTGATGCAGACAGAATCTAGCCAGAGATGGAGAAGTTTCTAAGGGCGCTTTCACGCCCAACGTGTTTGGTGTAGATGTGTCAAACTTTTTCTTTAGTTCACTCTGTTTTGACCGTTTTCACATGCAGTTGCTCAGATTAAATCCTCAGTTAATAAAAATGTTTTTTCTGTGTGTCTTTAGGTGCTGATGTTCCCTGTAACGACACTGTGGCCTGTCATGATGGACAAACGTGCTGTAAGAACGCTCAGGGAGATTGGGACTGCTGTCCTTTACCTGAGGTACCTGTGTCTCACTTCTGGACCGCTTTTCTCCACATCACTGTTTATCAGCTGAAATAAAAGCTTATATTACACTGTGGGTCTTTTCCCACTCTCAGCTGATAAACTCCTAAACTACAGGGTCATATTTCAGCTACTAATCTTAGGAGTTATTATTATAGATAATTATGTAGAATCTGCTATGAATGATTCAGTTTCCACTATAGTTTAGTATCTACTTTGTATTATTTCAGTATCTACTATGTATTATTCAGTATCTACTATGAATTATTCAGTATCTATTATGAATTATTCAGTATCTACTATGATTATTCAGTATCTATTATGAATTATTCAGTATCTACTTTGAATTATTCAGTATCTACTATGAATTATTTAGCTTATATTACACTGTGGGTCTTTTCCCACTCTCAGCTGATAAACTCAAACTACAGGCTTATTTTTCAGCTTTTAATCTTAATCTTAATCTTATTTATTATATGCTATAAATTATTCACTATTTATTTTTCAGTAACTACTATGAATTTTTCAGGATCTACTGTAAAAAATTCCATATCCACTATGAATTATTTAGTACCTATTAGGAATTATTCTGTAACTACCATAACTTATTCAGTATCTACTAAATATTATTCAGTGTCTACTATAAATTATTCCATAACTAGAATCATTCAGTATCTATTCAGAAGTTTCAGCCTCTTCATCAGTTCAAACTAAGGTGAAATCTGTCCACAGTGAATCTTCAGTGTGTGTGAGGTTGTGTTGTGTGTTCATTACAGGCCGTGTGCTGTTCTGACTTCGTGCACTGCTGTCCTCACGGGAAAAAGTGTAACGTCGCTGCTGGGACATGTGAGGACCCCTCAGGTTCTGAGCCCTGGCTGGAGAAGAAGCCTAGCCGACCAATCAAGGACGGAAACTTCCAGAAACCAAAGGTACATCATGAAGAACTCAGGAATCAGGCAACGTATTCTTAACCATTTCATGTAGTAACTTTCTGTAGTAACTCTTCAGATGTCTGGTTCCTGTCACCACACTTTAAAAAGTAATTCTGACCTGCTTTAACATTTAACATTTAATTTTGCAGAAATGCTGAAAAGTTGATGGAGTTTCTCTTTAACACATTGTACTGAATGAAAATATGATCATCTTAAAATGAGACCTCAGGATCTAAATGATCTCTGCCTCGTCCTCTTGTGTCTTTAGGCGCTGATGTTCCCTGCAACGACACCGCGAGCTGTTCTGATGGACAAACGTGCTGTAAGAACGCTCAGGGAGATTGGGACTGCTGTCCTTTACCTGAGGTACCTGTGTCTCACTACTGGACCGCTTTTCTCCACATCACTGTTTATCAGCTGAAATAAAAGCTTATATTACACTGTGGGTCTTTTCCCACTCTCAGCTGATAAACTCCTAAACTACAGGGTCATATTTCAGCTACTAATCTTAGGAGTTGTAATTCATGTACTATAAATTCTTGACTATCTATTATTTAGTATCTACTATGAATGATTCAATATCTGCTATAAATTATTCAGTATCTGTTCAGAAGTTTCAGCCTCTTCATCAGTTCAAACTGAAGTAAAGTCTGTCCACAGTGAATCTTCAGTGTGTGTGAGGTTGTGTTGTGTGTTCATTACAGGCCGTGTGCTGTTCTGACTTCGTGCACTGCTGTCCTCACGGGAAAAAGTGTAACGTCGCTGCTGGGACATGTGAGGACCCCTCAGGTTCTGAGCCCTGGCTGGAGAAGAAGCCCAGCCGACCAATCAGAGGACGGACACTTCCAAAGACCAAAGGTACGTCATGAAGAACTCACTGCTTCCACTGCAGAAGAAATTTATATATTTAGATTATATTTAGAAGAATATATTTATTGAAAACTCTGGACTGGGAAGAAGCTCCTGGCAAATACCCAGAGATGTACGAAAGTCAGACCAACGTTACAAAGGTTTTATATTCCCCAGGTGGGGTGTTGTTACAATTCATTGACTAATAGAAGTTACAATTCTTTGGTTGTGCATAATTGTGAGATGAATAAACAAGAAAGTGTTAACATATATGCAACATCAAGGCCGACTAGCTAGGCCTCAGTAAAATAAAAGAGATAAGACCTAGGCAGAGTGAGAGGAACAGCTGATTTGCACCCAAAGAACTGTGACAGTCCACCTTAAATTTACGATTTAACATATATAGCATATAAAACCATAAGGACAAAGGAACTGGGACACCTACACATTACACATTACACCTGCATGAGCTTTAATGATACAATGTAGGGGTTTAATTCTAAGTCCATAGGCATTAATATGGAGTTGGTCCCCCTTTTCAGCTCTAACAACTTCCACTCTTCTGGGAAGCTTCTACAAGATGTTGGAGAGTCTCTGTGGGAATTTTTGCCCATTCATCCAGAAGAGCATTTGTGAGGTCAGACACTGATGTTGGACGAGAGGGTCTGGCTCACAATCTCTGTTCTAGTTCATCCCAAAGGTGTTGGATGGGGTTGAGGTCAGGGCTCTGTGAGGGCCAGTCAAGTTCTTCCCAAACTCACCCAGCCATGACTTTATGGAGCTGCTTTGTGCACTGGGGCTCAGTCATGCTTGAACAGAAAAGGTTCTTCCGCAAACTGTTCCCACAAAGCTGGAAGCATAGAATTGTCCAATATGTCTTGGTGCTGAAGCATTAAGATTTCCCTCCATTGGAACTAAGGGTTCTAGACCAACCCTTGAAAAACAGCCCCATATCATCATCCCTCCTCCACCAAACTTTACAGCTGGCACTGTGCAGTCAGGCAGGTAATGTTCTCCTGGCATTCGCCAAACCCAGACTCGTCCATCAGACTGACAGATAGAGAAGTGTGATTCATCACTCCACAGAATCCGTTTCCACTGCTCCAGAGTCCAGTGGCGGCGCTTTACACCACTCCAGCCGACACTTGTCACTGTGCATTTTGACCTAAGGCTTGTGTGAAGCTGCTCGGCCATGAAAACCCATTTTGTGAAGCTCCTAATGTGCAGTTCTTTTACTGATGTTGCTTCCAGACACAGTTTGGAGCTCTTTAGTGATTCAACAGAGGATAGGCACTGTGCGCTTCAGCACTCAGCAGCCCGACTCTGTGAGTTTGCGTGGTCTACCGCTTCGTGGCTGAGCTGTTTTTGCTCCTAGACGCTTCCATTTCACAATAATAGCACTTACAGTTGTCTGGGGCAGATCTAGCAGGACAGCAGTCTCACAAACTGACTTGTGGCAGAGGTGGCATCCTATAACAGTGCCATGTTTAAAGTCACTGAGCTCATCAGTGCGACCCTCTACTGCCAGTGTCTGTCTATGGAGACTGCAAGACTATGTGCTTAATTTTATCCACCTGTTAGGAATGCGTGTGGCTGAAACACCCGAACTCAGTAGTTGGCAGGTGTGTCTCAGTACTTTTGTCCATATCATAAGTCAAATAAATTTCTGGATACATACATCACAGGTGAAATTATTGGTTAAAATCTACTCAAACTTCTCATAAACAATATTTCAGGACTCAGTTAGCTAAATCATAACCATTTCATGTAATAACTTTCTGTTAGGGAACTTTTAGAGGCATTAAACTCTTCAGATGTCTGGTTCCTCTCACCACATTACAAAACAGTTACTTTAGAAAGTAATTCCTGGCTGTTTTAGAATTTTGAGTTAACTGAACTAAACCATAACTGTAACAAAAGAATCCACAAGGGCAACTAGATAACGAAAGAACTCTGGACGTTCTTTCGTTATCTAGTTAGTATTGTTTTTTTGTTTTGCCGGCGAAATGGGGCCGGCAAAACAAAAAAACAATACTATAAATACACAGAGAACAATTAAGAAACACCTGGAGGTAACGAAAGGGCGGGGCTACAGACTAGAGACAGGTGAGACGGATAATCAGGAGGCAGAACAGGAAAGGAGACTGAAACAAAAACAATGACAAAAGGCCATGGACACACAAACAAGAGGGGAGAAAAAGACAAAGACTGTACAGTTACAGTTACTGACGTTACAGAAGTTCAGTCAACTCTGAATTTTAAGGCAGAACAATAACTAACCTTTTTATTTTCAACCAGCAGTTTTTTTTTATGGTGCATCATTTCTCAGTCAGTGTGTTGATCCAGGATGGTGCCTTTCAATCAGACCACTCTGAGTGACTTTCTTTGCATGTTAAACGTTTAATTTTGCAGAAATGCTGAAAAGTTGATGGAGTTTCTCTTTAACACATTGTACTGAATGAAAATATGATCATCTTAAAATGAGACCTCAGTATCTGAATGATCTCTGCCTCGTCCTCTTGTGTCTTTAGGCGCTGATGTTCCCTGCAACGACACTGTGGCCTGTCATGATGGACAAACGTGCTGTAAGAACGCTCAGGGAGATTGGGACTGCTGTCCTTTACCTGAGGTACCTGTGTCTCACTACTGGACCGCTTTTCTCCACATCACTGTTTATCAGCTAAAAAGCTTATATTACGCTGTGGGTCTTTTCCCACTCTCAGCTGATAAACTCCTAAACTACAGCCTTATTTTTCAGCTGTTAATCTTAAGAGTTACAATTCATTACGTACTATAAATTATTCACTGTTTATTCTTCAGTTTCTACTATGAATGATTCCATAAAGAGTATAAATTATTCAGTATCTGTTCAGAAGTTTCAGCCTCTTCATCAGTTCAAACTAAGGTAAAATCTGTCCACAGTGAATCTTCAGTGTGTGTGAGGTTGTGTTGTGTGTTCATTACAGGCCGTGTGCTGTTCTGACTTCGTGCACTGCTGTCCTCAAGGGAAAAAGTGTAACGTCGCTGCTGGGACATGTGAGGACCCCTCAGGTTCTGAGCCCTGGCTGGAGAAGAAGCCCAGCCGACCAATCAGAGGACGGAAACTTCCAGAAACTAAAGGTACGTCATGAAGAACTCACTGCTTCCACCTACATATCTCTGCTGGTCCATTATGCTGTCATTAAAGGGCAATTCCACCAGTTTTTCAAAAGTCAGTCGTTGGATACAAGCAAAGTCATTCAGAGTGATTTGATGTGAAATTTATTGAAGAGAAATTAACCAACTCACATTCCTTTACAGCGGTGTTGACAGGAACCAGGAGTCGCAGTGTCTTTTATAAGCACTGATGATAATAATAAAACCCCATTTCCAAAAAAGTTGGGACGCTGTGCAAAATGTAAATGAAAACAAAATGGAATGATCTGCAGATCATTTAAACCCTAAATTTCATTGAAAATAGTACAAAGACTATCAAATCAAATGTTGAAACTGAGAAATTGTATTGTTTTTTGAAAAATATGTGCCCATTTTGAATTTGATGCCAACAACACATCCCAAAAAAGTTGGGAGGGGGGCAACAAAAAGCTGGTAAATTTGTGTAATGCTAAAAAAAAACACCCTGTGAAAGACTGCACAATCAAATAGTGCAACAATTCAAGAATAACGTTTCTCAACATTAAATAGCAAAGAACTTTTGCTTTTCATCATCTATGGTACACAATATCATTAAAAGATTCAGAGAATCTGGAGAAATTTCTGTATGCAAGGGACAAGGCCAAAAAACAGTATTTGCTGGCCGTGATCTTTGGGCCCTCAGGCAGCACTGCCTTAAAAACAGACATGATTCTGCAGTGGAAATCACTGCATGGGCTCAGAAACACTTTTGAAAAACAGTGTCTGTGAACACCGTTCATCAGTGCATCCACAAATGCTAATTAAAACTCTTAAATGCAAAGAAGAAACCATATATAAACAGAATCCAGAAACGCTGCCACCTTCTCTGGGCCTGAGCTCATTTAAAATGGACTGAGGGGAAGTGGCCTGTGGTCTGAAAAATCAACATTAGAAATTCTTTTTGGAAATCATGGACACTGTGTCCTCCAGGCTAAAGACCACTCAGCTTGTTATCAGTGAACAGTTCAAAAGCCAGTATTCATGATGGTGTAGGGGGCATTAGTGCACATGGTATGGGTGACGTGCACATCTGTGAAGGCACCATTAATGCTGTACGATAAATGCAGGTTTTGTCAACATATGCTGCCATCCAGACGACGTCTTTTTCAGGGAAAGCCTTGATTATTTCAGCAAGACAATGCCAAACCACATCTGCATGCATTACAGCAGCATTGCCCTGTATTAAAAGAGTCCAGGTGCTGAACTGGCCTGCCTACAGTCCAGACCTGTCACCACTGAAAACATTTGGAACATTACAAAATAAAAAATATGACAAAGGGCACTCTGAACTGTTGAGCAGCTGAAATCTTATGTTAAGCAAGAACGGGAAAACGTTTCACTTTCAAAGCTACAGCAGTGTCTCCTCAGTTCCCAAACACTTACAGAGTGTTGTTAAAAGAAGAGGTGATGAAACACAGTGGTAAACATGAACCCGTCCCAACTGTTTTGTAATATGTTATTGGCATCAAATTCAAAATGGGCGTAAAACTTTAAAAAAACAATACAATTTCTCCGTTTCAACATTTGATTTGTTGTCTTTGTAGTATTTTCAATGAGATATAGGGTTTAAATGATTTGCACATCATTGAATTTTGTTTTTATTTACATTTTGCACAGCGTCCCAACTTTTTCGGAGTTATAACACAGTAGTACATAATCTGAAGACAAAATCTACTCAATCCTCTTGTAAACAATATCTCAGGAATCAAGCAGCGTTTTTAGAACTATTACATGTAATTCCTTTCTGTGAGGGAACTTTTAGAGGCATTAAACTCTTCAGATGTCTGGTTCCTATGACTACACTATAAAACAGTTCCTTTAAAAAGTAATTCCTGGCTGCTTTAGAATTGTGCGCTAACTGAACTTTGGCTGCTTTGGGCATAAAACAGTTCAATAAGGACTCAACAAGGTCCAGCCCACACTACAAGGTTCTTTTTCTTTAACTTAATGTTAGAGGTTCAGTCAACTCTGAACTTTTTTACATTCATCCAGCAGTTTTTTATGGTGCATCATTGAGGACAGTTCTCAGTCAGTACGTTTCTCCAGGATTGGTGCCTTTCACATCAAACCACTCTGAGTGACTTACTTTGCATCTTAAACATTTAATTTTGCAGAAATGCTGAAAAGTTGATGGAGTTTCTCTTTGATACATTGTACAGGATTAAAATATGATCATCTTAAAATGAGACCTCAGTATCTGAATGATCTCAGCCTCGTCCTCTTGTGTCTTTAGGTGCTGATGTTCCCTGTAATGACACTGTGGCCTGTCATGATGGACAAACGTGCTGTAAGAACGCTCAGGGAGATTGGGACTGCTGTCCTTTACCTGAGGTACCTGTGGACCAAAAACAACATATATGTGTATATATGTATATATATGTATGAGCCTCTTCATCGGTTAAAATCAGTTACTGTGCACAGTGAATCTTCAGTGTGTGTGAGGTTGTGTTGTGTGTTCATTACAGGCCGTGTGCTGTTCTGACTTCGTGCACTGCTGTCCTCACGGGAAAAAGTGTAACGTCGCTGCTGGGACATGTGAGGACCCCTCAGGTTCTGAGCCCTGGCTGGAGAAGAAGCCTAGCCGACCAATCAAAGGACGGAAACTTCCAGAAACTAAAGGTACGTCATGAAGAACTCACTGTTTCCACCTACATATCTCTGCTGGTCCATTATACTATCATTAAAGGGCAGTTCCACCAATTTTTGTCAGTCATTCATTTTCATCAGTGATTTGATGTGAAATTTATTGAAGAGAAACTGACAGACTCACATTCCTTTACAGCGCTGATGACAAGAAACAGGACAAAAGTAATAAAAAGTAATTCCAGCCTGCTTTAGAATTTGGAGTTAGTATAAAAGTACCTTTATAGTATCTGTACTTTTATACTGAATGAAAATATGATCATCTTAAAATGAGACCTCAGTATCTGAATGATCTCAGCCTCGTCCTCTCGTGTCTTTAGGCGCTGATGTTCCCTGTAACGACACTGTGGCCTGTCATGATGGACAAACGTGCTGTAAGAATGCTCAGGGAGATTGGGACTGCTGTCCTTTACCTGAGGTACCTGTGTCTCACTTCTGGACCGCTTTTCTCCACATCACTGTTTATCAGCTGAAATAAAAGCTTATATTACACTGTGGGTCTTTTCCCACTCTCAGCTGTTAACCTCTTAAACTACAGCCTTATTTTTCAGCTTTTAATTGTAAGAGTTCTAATTCATTATGTACTATAAAGTATTCACTAACTCTTATTTAGTATTCTACAACTGCTATGAATGATTTAGTATCTACTGCAACTTATTCAGTATCTACTATAAATTATTTAGCATTTTCAATAAATTATCATGTGATTAGTATGAAACTAATGGGTAAGTTATGTAGTCATAAAAGGGTTTAAAGGGACTTATCATAAATTTATTTTTTGCAACCTTATGACATTTGTGTGGTTTTATGTTCCAAAATCAAATTTAATTGTTTTTTGTTTGGCCATTTACCAACCTCTCTTTTATCCCTATTGAACCGGGTATATTTGTTGCTGTGCCTTTAAGACTGATATATGTAAGTGAGCTCTGTTCTGATTGGATGCTGGATACCTTCAAAAAGAGTTCAAAATGGGCTGTTTTTTTTGCTTATTTTCCATAATTGGACTGTACATTGTGAAACTATGACCCTAACCATGTTTACATGATGCAATACCAGTCAAAAGAGTTATTAAAAAGATCTTTTTCAGGGAACAAGCCAGTGGTTAAGAGCTTACAGCTGTTCTGCAGAAATGGAAGTGAATTAAACACTTTGCAAATTCCTGCAGATGTCCCAACTTTTCTTGGTTACTTACAAACCCACTGTTGGCACAGACAGTGTTCCTTACGCCCTCTGGGACAGTATTTGGACAATATAGCACAGCAGAATGTAGTATATTGCTGTCGTAATGGCGAGAAAACATTCAGTTAACAAAGTAAAAGCAACAGACCATTATGACCCTTAAAAGAGTAGATCTTTCCTTTAGAGAAATAGCAGAGAAACCCAGCATGTCAGTGAATACAGTTTTCTACACCTTCAAAAGGCACTTGAAAACCGGAGGAAACTCTCATAGGAAGAGGTCTGACTGGCACAATCTTTTCCTCAAAAGTAGAACAGTTTCTTGTAAAACGTCTCTCAACATTTGACTTTTTACGAGGCTGAAGTCGCTTCTCATTCGGCAGCTTCTTGTTTGAATTTTCCCGTTCCACCTTAAATGGCGCCTGAATGTAACTGCTGCACCTTTTAAGGTGGAACAGTAGAGTTCAAATAAGAAGCTGGCGAGTGAGAAGCGACTTCAGCCTCACGACTGTTTAGTGTTTTAGGGACTATATCATACATTTATTTTTATTTTGATGTCTTCTTCAGGGAAGGCCTTGCTTATTTCAGCAGGTCAATGCCAAACCACATTCTGCATGTATTACAGCAGCATTGCTCCGTATCAAAAGAGTCTGGGTGCTGAACTGGCCTGCCTGCAGTCCAGATCTGTCACCACTGAAAACATTTGGCACATTATAAAATGAAAAATACAACAAATGACACTCTGAACTGATGAGCAGCTGAAATCCTATATCAAAAAAGAATGGGAAAACATAGGAAGAGGTCTGACAGGCCCAAAACCACAACGCTGGACTTTTTACGAGGCTGAAGTCGCTTCTCATTCGCCAGCTTCTCGTTTGGATTTTCCCATTCCACCTTAAATGTTCCCTGAGGCGCCAGAATGTTCCTGCTGCACATTTTAAGGTGGAACGGAAAAATTCAAACAAGAAGCTGGAACTGAGCATCTGACTTCAGCTTCGCATCTTTTTTAGTGTTTGACAGTTTCTCGTTGCAGATTAAACGTATCAGGAAACCAGCTGGAGTGATTATAAACACAAATAAGTCCATTCAGCTCCAAATTATTGATATTCTTCTTAAATCTTTCTCTTTGACTTTTCGTTAGCTACTAGCTAGGCTAGATTGTTGTCAGTATTGCTATGGTAACCAGCAGTCGGCGTGCCATTCTTCAGGGTTAAAAGGTGAATTAGCAGTTATTTTTACCGAAATATCCAATTCTGCTGTTGAGAGCCGCAACAAGGCAGTAGAAGAGCCACATGTTGCCGACCCTTGGCCTAGTTGTTACAGCAAGACCATGGCCTAAATTCCTCCAGGCTACGTCAGAACTACCTTAGCACACAAGATTAAGACAGTAGGCCTAAAATCATGGAATGGTCAGCAACTCATTTAGCTGGTTTGGGAGGAAGTGGACAGAAGGATGAAAGCAAAGCAACCCAGTGCAACACATTTGTGGGAACTTCTGTAACAGTGTTGGGAAGAACTTTCCGAACAATTTTTGATTTCCCTTATAGAAAGAATGCTTCGAGTGTGTTCGGCTGTTATATCCGTAAAATGTGGCTATTTTGATGAGTCAAAAATTTAGGTTAAATTTTCTAATAATTCTCTGATTTTTTGTTTATTTATTCTGTGCTTTAATTTCAGAGAACATTGAGACAAAAAAAATGGAAAAATGGAAAGGCGTTCCAAAACTTTTGGCCGGAAATGTAAATTTTCCATTTTCTGTCCGCAGGCCGTGTGCTGTTCTGACTTCGTGCACTGCTGTCCTCACGGGAAAAAGTGTAACGTCGCTGCTGGGACATGTGAGGACCCCTCAGGTTCTGAGCCCTGGCTGGAGAAGAAGCCCAGCCGACCAATCGGAGGACAGAAACCTTTGGATAAAGTGAAAGGTCAAAATACAGCAGCCAATGTAAGCTGTGACTCCAGCCATTCCTGCCCACCGTCCAGCACCTGCTGTAAGGATGTGGACGCAGACTGGGGCTGCTGCCCTTTTGCTCAGGTACTCCTCCGTCCGTTCTCCCCGTCCGTTAGCGCCTGATCCTGTGTGAGTAAGCAAATGAGAAAGTACTCGGAGAATTTTGAATTTTATGGCAGCTGATCTTGGGAAAACAAAGGCAGGCTTGTTAGTCTCCAGACTTATCAGATTATCTTGGACTCATTCGAGTTCAAATTACTCTTCTACTCCTTTTTATTTCCATTATTAATTATTCCTCAACAAAAAGTCTGTGCATAGTTTTTTGACTACAGGAACTAAGAGAAATGCAGATGAACACATTTTTAGTATATAGGATATATATTAATAATAATAATGAACTGTTTTCAGCTATGCTACAAACTTTTGTAATTTTCTATAGATAAAAACATGTTACACAGTGTCAGAAACCATTTAAGTGGCTCCGAGTCGGTCCTATTGTTAACTCCTTTTTCCCTATTGCTTAGCGCAATGCTAGCCAACGCTGTGTAACAGAATTAGCAGTTAGCATTCTTTTCCAGGCGTGTTCAGCTGCCTAACGACATGGAGAAAGATGTGGTGGAGATTCATGTGTCTCAGATAAAGCACATGCTAGCCTTCAACCCCTTAGTGTAGACGTTACCATGACAACCAGCATCACGTGAGTCCAGTCAGAGTGAGATGAGCAGCAGTGAGCAGTGCTTGTGTTTTTAATTGCTTTAAAATGATGTCAGACTCAGGAAAACGTCCTTCACATGTCCTTATTAAAGAAGGCCGAGAGGAAGACATCGTGTTCTGAGACACATAAGCTGGACGTCCGTCCCACCGCCGTCTTTTAAAGATCAGAGGATAAACTTCGCCTCCTCTGCAGACCAGTTTCTGCTCCGCCATGTTGAACGGTATAAACTTTCACTATGACGTGACGAACATGATCAGAACGGACTTAAACTTTCCGATAGGGAATGTAATCAGATACAGGCGTTTACACGGATATTATTCTTCTATTTAACAGATTAGTTACAGGATTACCCACCTCGATCAGTCAGATAGAAACTGTATTCCGAATGGCCTCAATCGGACTAGACTAATCAGATTGAGGTGTTTACATGGACGTATTCTATTCCGATTGAGCTATTAGTGGAATTATTAACGGATTATCAGGCTGCATGTAAACATGTCTGCGGTCAAATAATGTTACTTAATTTTACAGGCCTTTAATTAAATGTTCAGAGCAAAACTCATGACGTTCTATAGATATTGAACTGTTCTGTTCCAGAACCTGTAAAGCTCGAGTCGTTAATCACCCAGAGTTCCTTTGCACTGTTTCAGTAGATGGTGACGTGGCTGTATTGACACTGGCCACGCCCCCTCATGTAGCAGAAGTCATTGCACACTGCAACTTCGGTAGGGATCTGTGACTTCTGTGCATTTTTTCTTTCAGTCAGTATGTCAACAGTTACAAAACGTTCCTGTACTACAAACCGAGCTGCGACAAAACACATTGTTTGCACATGTTCAAAACCAGAAGATTCAGCATCAAATCCTGACTGGAACTGGTGGAGTATTTCCACTGAAGCGCGACAGAAACAGAAAACCCGAGCTGAGTTAGACAAACGAGACTGTTCCTCTTTAAGAGCAACTTATAGCAAAGTCCCCTTGAAATCATCTAATAGTGACCTTAAATTCCAGCCAGTCTTGTTGGTGTAAGTTAAAACGAGTGCAGCTGTATCCTGAATTGTCACCTACACCAATCTTCCCACAGAGTGTGTGCTGTAAGGATCGTTTACATTGCTGCCCTCATGACACCACCTGTAACTTCAGAACGCTCACCTGCAACAAAGACAACGCCTCTGTCCCGATGGCCATGGTAGTCAAAGCTTCTGGACAGCCAGCACAGAAGAAGGAGAAGGAGGACGTGAAAGTGGAGAAGAAGCCAAAGGAGAATGAAGGAAACAGCAACGTTCAGTGTGATGAACGTCATTCCTGTCCCGATCACACAACCTGCTGCTTCATCAGCAAAACTCAGAAATGGGGATGCTGCCCTCTGCCTAACGTGAGTGTACTGTATGAATGAATCTGTCCATTCAACACCCACAAATGCACTGTGAGGTTGGACACCCTTATTCATTCAGCCTAATGAGAAACTGTAGAACTGACTCAGTTTATATCACAATACCTACATTTAGAGTCGGTTATTCATTCAGCCTAATGAGAAACTGTAGAACTGACTCAGATTATATCACAATACCTACATTTAGAGTCGGTTATTCATTCAGCCTAATGAGAAATTGTAGAACAGACTCAGTTTATATCACAATACCTACATTTAGAGTCGGTTATTCATTCAACCTAATGAGAAACTGTAGAACAGACTCAGTTTATATCACAATACCTACATTTAGAGTCGGTTATTCATTCAACCTAATGAGAAACTGTAGAACAGACTCAGTTTATATCACAATACCTACATTTAGAGTCGGTTATTCATTCAGCCTAATGAGAAACTGTAGAACAGACTCAGTTTATATCACAATACCTACATTTAGAGCCGGTTATTCATTCAACCTAACGAGAAACTGTAGAACTGACTCAGTTTATATCACAATACCTACATTTAGAGTCGGTTATTCATTCAGCCTAATGAGAAACTGTAGAACAGACTCAGTTTATATCACAATACCTACATTTAGAGTCGGTTATTCATTCAGCCTAATGAGAAACTGTAGAACTGACTCAGATTATATCACAATACCTACATTTAGAGTCGGTTATTCATTCAACCTAATGAGAAACTGTAGAACAGACTCAGTTTATATCACAATACCTACATTTAGAGTCGGTTATTCATTCAGCCTAATGAGAAACTGTAGAACAGACTCAGTTTATATCACAATACCTACATTTAGAGCCAGTTATTCATTCAGCCTAATGAGAAACTAGAACAGACTCAGTTTATATCACAATACCTACATTTAGAGTCAGTTATTCATTCAGCCTAATGAGAAACTGTAGAACAGACTCAGTTCATATCACAATACCTACATTTAGAGCCGGTTAATCATTCAGCCTAATGAGAAACTGTAGAACAGACTCAGTTCATATCACAATACCTACATTTAGAGCCGGTTAATCATTCAGCCTAATGAGAAACTGTAGAACAGACTCAGTTTATATCACAATACCTACATTTAGAGCCGGTTAATCATTCAGCCTAATGAGAAACTGTAGAACAGACTCAGTTTATATCACAATACCTACATTTAGAGTCAGTTATTCATTCAGCCTAATGAGAAACATCATCATCATGCTTGTTGTATTTACACACTGCAAGTATTGTAGTAGTACTTTTATATAATACTTATTGTTAAGTTTTGGTTGTGAACAAAAGAATTAATTCTTGAAACAATCTATGGTAAATGATCCAAACAGGATTTTTTCTCTGTGGTATCTACGTAGATACAGCCAAACAAGCTCTCCCATTGGTTAGGCCTTCAGGATCTGAACTGAAGTCAAATTGTAACAGATTTTTCTCACCTACATCACGTTTTCCTCTCTCTCTCCTGTCCCTCTCTCAGGCTGTGTGTTGTAAGGATGGAGAACATTGCTGTCCAGCCCAGTATAAGTGTGATGCGACTCAGACCTCTTGCGTTAAGGGTGATGTGGTCATTCCCTGGTACACTAAAGTGGCAGCCGAGAGCAGCCCTGACCAAAGCGCCGTCAGGTGTGACTCACAGACAAGCTGCCCCGTTGGCGCCACCTGCTGTAGGCTCAGGACTGGAAAATGGGGCTGTTGTCCTCTTCCTGAGGTAAGTGTCTGTGTGTGTGTTTACAGCCAAATATTCCCACAGTGGTAGGAAAACAAAAATGGAAACATCTACCGGCCCTTTACTCCTTTTTTTTAAATATTATTTTCTTGTTTTTTTATTTTTTACATAAAATGCACATTTATAAAAATACATACAACACTTAAAAAGTAATATGTTGAATTTGCTTGATTCAAATCTGTGCATAATTTCCATATGAATAAAATATATGACACAAACACAGTTATTACCACAGCACTGTGTAAATGTAGCACATTTTTTTCATGTCACAATATTGTACGTTTGAATAATCAGTGTTCAAAATGTTCGGATGTCCTTATAGTTACTGACGTTAAAGTTAAGATTAGGTTTAAAGGAATAGTTCGGCGCAAAAATCGTATGTACACAATTTTTTTAATTAGCTCAAATGTAGTCGTTCAGCCAAGAATGTTTGGTGTTCTTTAGTTTTAGCATTGGAGATATGAGGCGAATGTTGCTACCAAACACTAGAAGTCAATAGTCACCCAAATCCTTTTCATAAATACATCCTCAAAACGTCTCTAAACCTGCTCTAACCGCATCCAGCTCTTAATTAAGGTCCCACAGACTTGACGATGTAGTTTATTACTTACAGTGAGCTACTAAAATGAATAAAACGTTACTGTATAGCTGAACACTGCAGGCATCTATTGTAGAAAACAGGTTTTATGGTGAATTTCGCCTCCAGTACGCGTGCATGTACATCATACATGTATTTGAACTCAATATTACAAGATTTCTGTTGTGTCTATTGTTGATCATCTTCAATTCCATTCAATTCAAGTTTAAACAGTTAAAAATAAAAAACAGAAACCATAAATATGCATAAATATGCACAATAATGCAGTGTCCAGCTACATAGTGGAGTTTTATTAATTTTTGTAGCTCACAGTCATACTGTGTCCTAAAGACATCACTACAAGTGTGCACGAATTAATTGAGGAGCTGGATGCGGTTTGATTGGGTTGAGAGGCGTTTTGGGGATGTATTTGCACAGAACATTTGGGTGACTATTGACTTCTAGTGCGCCTTAGCAATGTTAGCATCATAGCTCCAGTTTCAGACAAAAGAAGCAAAATTTGAACGCCAAACATTTCTGACTGACTACATCTGGGATGAGTGGAAAACTCTCAGTTAGGTGTTTTTTACCAAACCACTCTT